TAGACTCGTGGCTCCTTGAACAGTCAATGGTATAAGCAATATTTGTTGCCAACACCACAGTTCAGAGTCATCAAATCTTCCTTATTCATTGTGTAACATTCATATGCATGTGACTTTAAAAACAAAGGAAGGAAGGAAGGGAGGGAGGGAGGGAAGGAAGGAAAACAACCCTTCAAACTCATTGCCATCAAGTCAGTCCTGAGGTTGTAAATAACAAGAGGAGGAGACAGTCCATTTTTCTCCCTCAGAGCTGCTGGTGGGTTTAGAAAACCAGAGACATGCAGCCTTTGAGTAGCACGACTCACTACTGACAATACTATGGTTTGGGTGAGGGAAAACCTTCGTCCTCTAAAAGACAGTGGAGTGTACTGGGGCTGGAAGGGGATTGTATACCAATGAAGGAATTTTACTTTTCAAAGAGAAGAGCGAACTGGGGGTAGGGGGAACAGTGGGCAGGGAGAAAAATGCAACAATGAATGAATGGAAAGCCAAAATCTCTGTAAACGTTCATTAAAATTAATAAAATAAAATAAATACATCTGTGCTCTAGAAAAAGAACTTTAAAGAGATCCTTGACAGCGTATTTTCCCAATGCACTATGTCTTTAATTTCACAAACGTTGATTGTGGATCCAAGTAAGATGATATTCTTGACAACTTCAATTTATTTCTCCATCTGTAGATGTCACAACTTTGCTTACTGAAAGTGAAGATGATTTGACACACTTAACTGTAGGAGACTGAAGACTGCAGCCTTCAATAGAAGTTACATCTTAATACCAAGAAAACAAAAATACCACTGGACCAGTAAGCAACATCATGATAGATGGAGGAAAAGACTGAAATTGTGAAGGATTTCATTTACCTTGGATTCACAATGAACATCCACGGAAGCAACAGCCAAGAAATCAGTGTTGCACTGGGAACATTTTCTGTCAAGAATTTCTTCAAAGCGCTTAAGATAAGGATGCTGGTTTAAAGACGAAAGTACACTTGATATTGTTGTTATTGTTGTTAAGTGCCATTGAGTCATAGATGACTCATAGTGACCCTGTGAATGAAAGACCTGAACACTTGTATAACTTTCATTGTTTCTCCAAGTTCATAGAGTTTCCAGAGGCAAGCTATTTTGGACGTGGATGCCACTCCTGCTTCCAAGCTCATTTTAATCAGGGAGCTCCACCAAACAGTGTCCACCATGGGTAACCAACATCGCATTTGGCACATTAGTGTCACAGTGTTCAAGTTCACAGCAACCATGAGTTACCTCTGTACAGCAAATGGACAGACCAGTGCTATGCCACTTAGAAGAATGTTTGACCAAAAACAATTAAAACCAGGCCTGAGGGTCACAGATTAAGATCACCCACCTTTAGCTTGGTAGCATCACTTTCTACCCACAAGGCCAACAGAGCTCTCTCTATGTTGTTAAGTGTGTTGAGTCATGGACGACTCATAATAACCCTATGAATAAAAGACCTGAACTCTTATATAACTTTCATCATTTCTCCAAGTTCATAGACGTAGATGCCAGTCCTTTAAAAAGGCACTTTATATAGGCCAAGATGTTTTCAAATGAATTTGAAAAGCGTGAAATGACTAAGGAAAACTGAAGAAGAATCTATGCCTTTGAGTGTTGGAGAAGAATACTGAATATCTCATAGACTGTCAGAAGAACAGACAGATGTTTCTTGGCAGAAGGGCAACCAGGGTGTACCTTAGAGGCAAGGATGCTGAAACTTCATTTCACAGACTTTGAAGGCATGTTGTGAGGAGGGGCCCATGCTTGGAAAAAGACTAATTCACAATGGGAGGAGACTGTCCATCTTTCTTCTGAGGAACCTCTGGTGGATCCAAGCCACCACATGTGGCCTTTGAATTATCAGTAGCAAGGATGAAAACCCAAACAACAATCAGATACTGATGTTATTCTAGCCTCACAATAACCATCAGTTGTTGTTGTTGTGATCTGCATTTTATAGAGAAAGAAACTGGGACAAATTTATCAAGTGGTTTACCCCATTTAGCCACTTAAAGTGACAAGACCTGGATTCCAACTGAGGTTCTTGACTCAAATACCTAAGACTTTTCATGGCACCACTGCCTCTTAAGGCAAAAGAAACATCAGTACATACAGTGGGTACCTGAAGGCATACCTTTCTTCTCTCATTACCATCTATTTACTCTATGTCTAAAGTGTACAAGGATGTCCGAACAACATCAGAAGCCCCAGAATGATAAAGAATGGCTTTTTGAGGAGAAAGCCTTTATTGTAGAATGCCACAAGCTTGGCATTTACAACATATTATTTAAAAAAATTCTAATTCCACTTTCTGTTTTGCTGAGTCTTACCTGATCAGTTGCTGCTTTTAGCACCTGCCGTTTACATGAGAACAATTGTAAGGCAGTTGCATCTGCCCTTATGTCTAAGATAGTGATAAAAGACAAGGGTGAGAGATACACATTGTCTGATCAGCATTAATAAAAAATGTGCTAACGTGGAGAGTATGGACAGAATACATGGATGCAATGTTTCCTTTTTGGATGAGGAAAATGTTATGGTTGGAAGACAATAGTTATGGTAACACAACATTGAGGATTTTATGTTTATGTTTGGCAATAAGATAGCTTTTGAAAAGAAATAGAATGAAGTTAATTTCTTTCTTCACAAAGTACATAAAAATTGACCCAAAACAGATCAAAGATCTGACTCTAAAGATGAAAAATAGAGAACTTTAAGCATAAAAATAAGAACTTTTTAAAAAAAACAATAAGGAAAATTATATTGCCTTGGATTAGACAATGGTTTCATAGTAATGTCAACAAAATAACAAAGGACAGGAGAAAAAGTAGATTAACTGAACTCGATTATCAAAATGAAAGATTTTTGTACTTCAAAAAATATCACCAAGAAAGTAAAACACAGAAATGGCAAATGCTTTGTTAAATGTCTACCTTCTACAACAAAAGGAAATGAAAAGGTAATAGAAATAAACAGAATGGGAGAAAATGCTTATAAATGACCTAAAAAAAAAAGGTCTAGTACAAAGAATATATGAAATCAACAATAAATACAACTTGATTTCAAAACTTGAATAGACATTTAACCAGAGAAACTATGCAAAATTAAAGCAATACATGAAAATATATTCAACATCAGTAGCAAGGATGGAAACCCAAACAACAATCAGATACAACTTTACACCCTCTAAAATATGCAAAGTGACAAGTGGTAACAAGGATGTGGAGAAATTGTAATCCTCATACACTGCTGGTTGTGTTGTTGTTGTCACATTCCTTCGAGTCACCTGCAACTCGTAGCGACCCTATGGACAACAGCCTTAAACCCTGTTCTGTCCTGTGCTAATCTGTCTCCTACACATCTACCCCCATTAACCCAGTGAGTGAATCAATCCATCTCATTGAGGGTCTTCCTCTCCTGCACTGTCCCTCCACCCTCCTAAGCATGACGTCCCTCTTCCAAGGACGGGTCCCTCTTCCAAGGACCAGTCCCTCTTTGCAACATGTTCAAAGTATGTCAGATGAAGCTTCAGAATCCTTGCCTCCAAGGAGAAGCCTAGTTTCACCTTCTCTAGGACGAACCTGTTTGTTTTCTTAGCAGTTCATGGTATATTCAATACTGTTCTCCAGCACCACAGCTCAAAGGCAACAATTCTGTTTCTATCATCCTTAGTCACTGTCCAGCTCTCTAACACACAGCAAGTGATAGCAAAGACCATGGCCTGTATCAGGCGCACCTTAGTCTCCAGACAGACATCATTGCACTTCAGTACTTTGGAGAGGTCTCTAACAGCAGACTTTCCCAATGGTAAAACAGAAAATTGTACAATCTTCTTAGAATACACTTTAGCATTTATTTAAAAACTAAAATATAGAACTGCAACTTGACCAAGTAATTAAACTCCAAGGTATATACCCAAGAGGAAAAAAGGACATATATCCTTGTAAAAATGTGGGCAAATATTCATGGCAACATTATTCATATTAAAAATATTCATAGAATTATTATTCATAATAGCTCAAATTGTACACAACCTAAATGTTCATCATGTAATGAATATATAAACAAAATGTTATCTCTTCATAAAATGGAATATTATTCTGTCATAAAAAGGAATGGAATATTTGATAAAACTTGGATGAATCTTGAAGATGTTATACTAAGTGAAAGAAGAGAATGTCAAAGGAGCACACATTGTAACATTTTGTTTTTCTAAATGTCTGATTATGAAAATCTATAGAACTAGAAAGGAGTTGCAACAAATAGTAATGGTGAATGAATTGGGCTTGACTGAGTATGGGTTTTATTTGGGGAATGACCAAAATGTGCTTGAATTAGATAATAGCTGCACAGTCTTGTGACTACACTCAAACCACGTTGTAGTCCATAAAAGGTAAGTTTTCTGTAATATGAATTATCTATCAGGCATATATTATTTTTAAAATGGTGGAATCGTAAGTTTGACAACCAAGTAGGAGAAATGTGTAAAACTGTTCTCTTTTTCCATAGTAGCTAGCAAAACCAGTTGTTGCAAGTATATAATAGAGTATGGAAAGGTACGGCTAAAAAAATGGTATTTCCCTTGTGAATTTACAAGGCCAGATAGGTCTAACCAAGCCACCACTTCCCACAGGTTAATTGGATTGGAAAGGCACAAGTAAATAGAAACAGAAAACAGAATCCCCTACAAGAGGTTAAAAATAAATAATAATTTTAAAAGCCCCAAATTCATTGCTATGAGCTGACTCATAGGCAACCCTCGAGTGGGTTTTCAGGAGGTTGTAAATCACGTGGTACAAGACTAGCCCATCTTTCTCCTGAGGAACCACTGGCGGATTAGAACTGCCAGAGAGGTGCAGTCTTCGGGCTAGCAGCACAATTCACTGCTATGCCACCAGAGCTCCCGTCCAAGAGGTAACGTATTTTCTTAAAGAGATTAGCCATGAAATGTCACTGTCATCCTGACCAGGCCACCTTACCTAACTGAAATTGATTGGAGACATTCCCACATGTTTGCATTATCTCTGGACTATTCCATCCTAGGGGGTACAATGCACAGCCTGAGCTTATCAGCAGACCTGAAAAGAAGAGCACATACATAGGTAGTACAAAAAAACCGCCAACATAATAAATGCTTCTATCATCCCAACATTTCTTTTAGATTACCTCAGCTCATAATTCTACTTCTTCCTTTCAACATGGACCCTTTCCTTTGTGATGCTAAATGTCTACATACTAACAACCCAATGGTATGTGTTCCCCTGCCATAGGCGGTGTTGTGTGGTAGATGGCAGAAGGGGTGACTCTATGAAAGGGCAGTGTTGGGAAAGGAGGCAGGTCAATGCACATTTTATTGCCAAAAGGTTTTGGACAATGGCCTGAAAGGCTAATTTGGCTGTTCGAACTAGATTTTTTTACTTTGGTCTGGGTACAAAGAAAACACAATGTAGAGAAAGTTAGTCTTTACAAAATTCTAGACTTTTTTGAGGAGTTGAGTGAAGGTTGCCTCTCAAATTTGTAGCTTGCGGTCAATTGTCTGATTGAAATCTACAGAAAGCGTATAATTTGAGTAGGCTTGTCTTGGTGAGCAGAGAATTATGCTCTTTCTTCCCTGAAAATCATTCTAGATTAATGCCAAACATTCTTCTCAGGTCTTGGCTTCTAATACTGTCCACCTAGCTCCTTGCCTTTATTCGCATTTTGCTTAGGTTGTTCCATGACTATAAGGAGACTTTTTGAGTCCTCGTTGCTGTTGTTGTGTACCGTCGAGTCGGAATCCATCCATATCTGACCCTCCAGCAGGTTTCCAGAGGCTTTTAATCACATGGGAGCAGATTGCCCATCCTTCTCCTGTGGGGCAGCTGGTGGGATTCAAACCACTTACCTTTGGGATTGCTGACCAGCTTCTTACCACTAGGCCACCAGAGCTCCCTAGTCTACCTACCAAAGCTACAAATTTAAGTCAGGTGGTTCATACTTACTTCAAAAGGAAACCACCTCGTCAACAGCTCTTGCAAATTGCTTAGAGTTTCATTTTTTAATTCTGTGGCAGCCCCAGTCCCATGTCACCTACGACAACAATGGATGGGGACAGATAGACACAATAATAATTGAATGCACTGACTGTCAGTAGTGGGTGATGATCATGGGCTGGCACGAAGATCTGAGGTGGGCCAGGTTCTTGTTTGTGGATACACTGAAGTGCTATGCTAATTAACAGCTAGAGAAGCAGATGGAAAGCAAACACAAACACTAGAGGGTAGAATCAAGGCTGTTATCAGGTTGAATCCAAGGCCAAGCTGACATTATGAGAAGACAGCAATTTGTTTAGGAGCCCAGCAAACTGACTGACAGGGGAAGAGAACAGGGGAGACAAATGGAACAAAGCAGACACACCATGATAAAAACTCTATACCGTCAGAGAGAGAGAGAGAGACAGACATCTGGTGGTTTCCCAATTCTATTGTAGGCCCCTTAAATTCGTTTAAATCGTCACCGCAAATGGCGACTATTGCCGTCCTGCACCTGTTTGTAAGCACGGTCGTCAATTTAAAAGTGTGCGGCAACATGTTAATAAACTCTCTTCCCTTCAAAGTATTCAGGTGAGCCTCTTGCTGCTTGAACATAAAAAGGCAAATTACAAAAACCCAATATTTGGGTGCTGTACCAAAGGTCACAGGAGGGTCGCCTGCCCCAAATGCAGATGCACAAACTAGCACATAGCATGAGGCTGTGACAGGGCAGGTGCTTGTTAAATAATAAATGAATGGCATATTTATAGCCTCCAGACTCTGGGGCTCAGCTGGATGGTGAAAGGCAGCCTGCTCCAGGGACTGCTGACCTCACCTTCACTTCTCTTTCCTCACGGAGGAAGATTCCATACACATTTTGAGAAGCTAATAATCCCACTTTGCCTTCAGATGAATCTTTCTGGAAGAACTCAAAGGAGTCTTGTAGCTTGCCAGCAACATGACAACCAGCTTTTCGTAACACAGAAAGGGACCACAGAAGAAGCCAAAGACTCTGAGGAATAGCAAGTTTAAAAAAGAAGGAAGTGGGGGGGGGATATAAAAAAGGATTTCAAGAGAACAGTTGGGAGAACTTCCTGCCAGTGAGGAAGGGCTCAGAAATGAAAAGAGTGATCACTCCTCAGTGCAATCCTCAAAGGGAAAAGGCATTGATTACCTGTGTTGAGCTCTGATGGCTTAGTGGTAAGGAGTTGCACTGCCAACCCCAAGGCATAGACTTCATATCCACCAGCTGCTCTGTGAGTAAAAGATTGGTAATCTCCATCTTTGCCATTTACTGCCTCTGAAAACGCACCAAAAGGTCAGGCTTTCAATTCTTTTTTTTTTATTTTATTTTATTAATTTTAATGAACATTTACAGAGATTTTGGATTTCCATTCATTCACTGTTGCACTATTTTCTCTAGCTCCCCCAGTTCATTCCTCTCTTTTTCCCCCCTCGAAAGTCTGTTTTAATTGTCCCACTGCCACCGTGCTTGTCAAAACCAAATCTGATTAATCTTCTTTGCCAAGGCTTTCAATTCTTAATTCACAACTTGTAGTCTTAAAGAGAGGTCCCTCAGAGGTCTCTTTCACAGAGGCCCCTCAGAGACCTCTTTGGGTTCTAGAATCTATGAAATGGAAAAGGAATAACACTCTGTTTTTAACATAGATAAGAGTACTGGTTATCCCAGTGTTTGGAAAAGGACATGTTTAGAAAGATGGAGGGTCAGTGAAAGAGAAGAAGACCAACAAGATAGATTGACATAGTGACTGTAACAATGAGCTTAAGTATATTAGTGATCATGAAGGTGACACAGGATAGGGTGAGGTTCATATCCATTTTCTTTCAGTGTTGGTTTGAGTCATACACGACTCAATGGCACTAAACAAGAAAAACATACATTCATCTTGATTGTCATTTGAGCTTTTTCTTTGTAGATGTTGTTGTTAAGTGCCATTGAGTCAAGTACTACTCATAGCCACTCTAAGAACAACAAATCTAAACCCTGTCCTAACCTGTGTCATCCTCATAATCCCAGACACATTTCAGCCCATTGCTGCATTTACTGTGTCAGTCTCCCTGATTGAGGGTCTTCCTCCCCTTCACCATCCCTATACCTTCCTGAATATGATGTCCCTTTCCAAGGAATAGTCTCTCCTAGAAACATGCCCAGAATATGTGAGACAAAGCTTCATCATCTTTACTTCCAAGGAGCTCTCTGGCTGCACCAACTCCAAGATGTATCTGTTTGTTCTTTTGGTAGTCCATGTGATATTTAGTACTCTTCTCAACACCACAACTCAAAGCATCAATTCTTTTTCTGTCATTTTTTATTCATTGTCCCACTCTCAGATACATAGAGAATCATGGAAAAGACATGGTTGAATCAGGTGCACCTTGGTCTTTAAACTGATATCATTGCTCCCTACCACTTTGGAGAAGTCCTTGACAGCAGATTTTCCCAACGCAACACATCTTCTGATTTCTTTACTTCTGGTACCTAGGGTATTGATCGTGGATCCAAGCAAGATGAAATTGACAACTTCAATCTTTCCTCCATCTTCCATCATGTTACCTATAGGTCCAATGGTTAGGATTTTGTTTTCTTGATTTTAAGATATAATCTATATTGAAGCCCATAATCTTTGATCTTCTGCAGCAAGTACTTCAAGTCCTCTTCACTTTCAGCAAGCACAGCTGTGTAATCTGCATAATACAGGTTGTTGATAAGTGTTCCCCCAATCCTGATGCCACATCCCTCTTCCTAAATTCCAGTTTCTCGAATGATTTTATCAACATCAAAACTGAACAGGTATGGAGAAAGGATAGAGCTGTGATGCTCACCAAAACCACAATGAGATACCATCTCATCCCAGCAGCAGTGGCAATGTTTAGCAGGGCAACAAGCAATAAATGTTGAAGAGGATGTGGAGAGATAGAAATTTTTATACACTGTTGGTGAGACTGTAAAATGATGCAACCACTCTGGAAGACAGTTTTGTGTTTCCTCAAAAAGTTGAACACAGAAACTCTGTATGACCCAGCTAATCCACAACTAGGAATACACCCCAAGGAAATTAGAACTGAGACACAAATGGAGATCTGTACGCCAATGTTCATAGCAGCGTTATTCACCATTGCAAGATCATGGCAACAGCCCAAATGTCCAACTACTACTGAAAGGATTGAGAAATTGTGGTGAAATCACACAATGGAATGATATGCAGCACTCAGGAGCAAAAATTTTGAAAAATACTATGTCACTTGGAAATTGAAAGAATTTGTTCAAATTTGTATTCAAATTTTATAAATAAACTAGTAGAGAGGAAAAAATACTAGAACTTGGAGGAGACTTGAAAGCATTATGCTGAGTGAACTAACTCATTCTCATAAGGACAAATACTGCATAAGACTATTATCGTAAAAATAGAAGGTTAATTAATAAAACATGTATAGGGACACAAGGGGGGAAGGAGTGGGAGAAAAGTGGTGAGAATGGGTAGGGGCAAAACCACAGGGTTGCACCTTTTGGTGGGTGGAGGGTGGGGGTGAAGGAAATAGTAGAGATCCAATGGGGACCTATAAAGATTGGGTAATGATTGGTAAGGTCCAATGGTGATTGATTTTATAAAAAATAATGCATGGGAATGATTGTATGAAACATAATATGAATGAAGAATAGTATGAAATACAATGTGTATGGACTTTGTGAGCAAACTAACTTATTTTTTTAAAAAAGTAAACTGGGGTAGGTATGGAGGAAAATGTGCAAGAATGAATGAATGAATGAGTAAAAAAATCCAACTTTTCATTTCACAATAAACAATTTAAAAAAAACAAACTATGAAATTTTCCTTTGTTCTGTTCACACAGCAACTTCTTGATCTAGATAAAAATTTCACACGAGCACAGTTAAATGTTCTGGGATTTCTGTTCTTCTCAATGTTAGCCACAATTTGTTGATCAACACAGTTAAATTACTTTTGCATAGTAAAAAAAACCCCAATAAACAGACATACATCCTTCTTGTATTCACTGATTTCAGCCAAGATCCTTTTGACTTCATC